ATATTCTTTATGAAATTTTGCGAAATTGTTTTATATTTTTCCGGGAGTAACTGCTGGAAAACTAATAGGAAGTATTATTCTTTGATTTTCTTGAATAAATTCATTTAGTTGAAATAAATCCGAATTGAATGTTGTGTTTTTTTAAGTAGACAAATACAATGCGGAATTGTATCATAGGATTTTATTTATTAGCGTATAGACTTTTTAACAAAATAAAACAAATTATGGTTAATGAATATTCATTTATTTTATTAAAATAGTACCTTTTACTTCTCTGGATTTCATACGGCTGGTTACAAATTTTACACTTCATGATATTTTCTGATGATTTGCTGTAACTTTCAGCTAACCACTTACCTATATGGGAGAATAATTAAAGAAAAGAATAGAAATCATCAACAAATAGTTGAAATGAACAATGAAAATAAAATTCTAAACGAAATGAATTCATTTGAAAATCTCTTATAACAATTAAATTATGGATGTAAATGAAGATAATGAAAACAGAGCTGTCCATGAACGATTGTTCGTAGGTGATCATGGACAGCTCTGAATGAAAATAATCGAAATAGGAAAAACCACTTACGCAAGCAATCGTGATGAACAGAGCTCACATCACCAGTACATTTGCAAGGTTGAATGAGTGGTTCAAGTTTGTCTGAATCATAACAGATCCAACAATCCTTAGATTTTAAGAAGAAATGTCCTTCTTCAGCTGATGCTTCTTGCTAAATTTATATTTTATTTTGTATCAATCTCGTTTTGTGTTTTTAAAATTTCAATTTAACCTTTTCGTCCGATGATATTGGAAGTGTTTGAATCTGTCGAGTAAGTAATCGCGGATTCAATATCCATAGCTGCTCGGGAGAACAACAATTCCAGAGACATCCATTGAACCTGCGGTGTATGGTTCAAAATAGACTCATTTAGCTTTTTATATTAACCAAATTCATCTTAGTTACTCGATATATTCATATACATTATCTTTTATTATAACCACAGGTGATCACGGGAAATAGGGGGAAAGGTGTGGATTTATGCGAACCTCGTGAACATCTATGATTGTAACGTTGTCAGCAGAGTAAGTAGAATAATTATAGAATGTATAGAGTGACTAAGGTGAATGTAAGAAATACATATGTGAAACAAACCATAGCGCAAAGCTGACTTCGGCCACACGAAATATGATATCGAAACTAAAGGGCGAAAATAGAGTAAAAATTATATATATTAATAAAATGTTAAATTTAATATATTGCTGAGAAATTTAATGATTTAATGCATTGCAGAGCTCATCTTCTTGTAAAGTGGAACGGATGCGCATAGTTTCAAAAATTTTGACATCATAATGTGAACACAATCCAATACGTTAAGTTTTTAATTATAACTCTTACGATTCATTTGTCATTCAAATAAAAAAAAACTGCGTAATTTGGCTTAAAATTTTGCAGACGAATATTTCTATACGTTACATTTATTCACAGCAATGAAATCCCTACTACCGTGCTAGATGGTGTCGACACGAGTGGACGGATTTTTAAATTTATTTGAACGACGCCATGTTATTATACTTGTCCATTACAACGTACATGTAACAGAAGTAACACACAGTCCATGTCCACGCTAGTGGACATAAACGATTTGAACCGTCAATGTGAACTAGATCAAGTATTTACCAATTAGAAGAACTGATTACACAAAATATGAACCAATAAATTATATGCTTACATCATTCAACGATTTTTATACCAAAAAAATGCCAAGCAGTGATAAAAATTTAATTGATTTAGAAGTAAATTTATCAACAGTCAAAATAAGAATAGAAAATCATTTTAAGCAAAACAGATAAATACAAAATATTTAAAAATGAATTATAGAAATTTTAAGAAAATGGAAAATTAACATAGAAAATTTATATTATTTACGTGAGGGGAATGAAGAAACAATGATTTTTCATTTTCACTCTCAAAAATGCTTGATATTATATTTATTTAATTTAATTATTTTCAATAAACCACCAAGGCGAAGGAACGCTGTTCGATGCAGTTATTATTATTATTATAGAACTTTACATAGGATCATATACGATGAATATGGATTACACAGTCTGTTTCAAAATACCGTCACCAATGTCGACACCATTTGACATCAAAATTTTTACAGTAAAAATATGTGTTATTGTTGTTGTCGTTTGATTGCTGTGCATTTATTTCAGACAATATATTGAGCTGACTATTATTTTGACATGAAACGAAATAGCGGAACATTTCGATTGTGTGACAATTTGGTATTTTAGATGTCTATTTTTGAGTTCAGATGCTGAGGATCCAAATTGTTTTTGTCACACAATCGAAATGTCCCGCTATTTCGTTTCATTTCAAATGATTAGACAGCTCAATATATAGTCTGATTTATTTTTCTTTTCTTCATGTATCGAATTACAATTTAGAATATTCAAAAATGATCTGATCTGTCTGATATTTTTCGGATATGTGTCAAATCGAATCGAACGATATTTTTTTATAATCAAAATACGCTTTGTTTGCAAAAGATGTTCTTGAGAGTTATAACAATAAAAAAACTATTGATATAAGTACAAAACACTTCTTTCGAAGTTCCCACTGTGACGCAATACTATAAATCTGGAAATATTCTGATATAAATTTTCAGTGACGCGTTCGTTCATACACATACAAAATATTAATATTGCGTCGCCTCTGAAACGCTAACACAAACAAAAGACGTGTTTAATGTTATAATAAAAAATCATAAGCAAAAAATGTGCTGTTTTTGTTGAATTCTATTATTTTTGAGTTGTTTACACGTTATCGTTATCGTTCTCTTGAGGTAAAAGAGGCGTTCGTTCATATACATACATAATATAAATATTGCGTTGGTATTACATGTTTTCTGGACGTTTCTGAGGTCAGAGACCTCGAATCAGGCCGTTTTGAGCATGGTTGTTGTGGGTCTGTTCCACGGCAGCCGGCAAACGTTACTCAAAAATGACAAATGTTGCACAAAAGTGACAAATTTTACACACGCGTGTGACAAATGTTACACAAAAATGACAAATTTTACACAATTCTGACAGGTTTTACACTATTTTGACACTTTTTGCATGACAAATATTACACAAAAGTGACAATTTTTACACAAAAATGACAAATTTTACATGACAAATGTTACACACGCGTGTGACAAATGTTACACAAATTTTGACAAATGTTACACAAAGTATCAAATTAGCAAAATAGATGAAATGGTTGGATTGGTGTGTAAAATGCAAATAACGACTTTTTATAAACTTCCCAATGGGCATTGTGAAGCCGTTTTTTGGCTCGAATCGAGCTTCCTATGAAGCCACATTTTGGCCCATTTAATGCTTATAAATTTATAAAAATTGTGCAAAAATATATATCTATTTCGTGGAAATATATATGCCCGATTTCTACTATAAAGTATAATCTAAATCAGGCTTATATGTTTGGTTAATTTGAATATAAATAATAAATACTCGAATCGACCAAAGATATATACCTAATTTCGGTTATATTTTTCGTGTGAATCTCGGGTGGTCTTTATAATGCTTCGGGTTGCCCATTGGGTTTAAACTCAAAACACACGAGAGTAGTAAAATAATATGTGAACTGGACCATTTTAATTGCGACAACAGCATCCGCCATTTTAATTTTTTATTAGTTCGATTGATTCGTATGCAGTGTGACGAATTTTCTAGAAAATATTTTTTTTTTCTCTCCTTCATTTCGTTGCTTCAAATTGTTCCCCCGCCAGGGCTATCAATGAAATTCAATTCAAACTTGAAAAATTATCGAAACATTTACTTTATTTTTTCCTCTCCTTCATTTCGTTGCTTCAAATTGAAATGATAATAAAAATTGGAATCCAAACTCAAATATTTTTTTGTTAATTTCAACTATTTTGCAAATTTGATACATTGTGTAACATTTGTAATTTTTGTGCAACATTTGTCACTTTTGTGTAACAAATGTTTTCTCCCTCTGTTCCACGTTGTACGTTGTCCGCCGTACGCAAAATTTTTTAACACAATAACTCTCCCCCCAAAAAAGTTATTTAAAATCTGACTTTACTGGATGATTGGAGGTCGCGATGAATAGAAATTACTAGATTTTGAGCGACTTTGGTTGATGGACAAAAATTCCATGTCTATTGTGATACCAATGAAAAAGAGTCCAATTTTCTTCCAAAATTCATACTTTATGTAGACTTAAACACTCAAAAATATGTATTAGGGTTTCTTTTGGCACGAGAAAACTGAATCCGAGGTAAGTTTTGAGATACAATCAATTTTTGAAACAGTTTCTTTGGAAAAATCACAAAAAATTGAATTTTTGTTTGGAAGCCATGCCTGTATGGTATCGTAATGACGTGAAACTTTACACAGACTATTTTTTACACAAAAAAAACACATTCTGAAAGTTTGAACGGATTTTAATCAAAATTAGGGGTCCCTTCCATACAAAATTTTCAATTTTTGGCTAAAAAACAAATATTTTGTTTGGGAGGTACTCTTAATTTTCGTTGAAATTTCTCAAAACTCTCCGAATGTTATTTTTTGTGAAAAAATAACCTGTGCAAAGTTTCACGCCATAACGGTTGCGTACAGGCATGATTCTCTTAAAAAAATTCAAATTTTTTGTGACTTGTAAAGTGTTTCAAAAATAGTTTTTATGGCAAAATTAACGTTAGACATATTTTTTTTATAGGGTTTTGTTAGAAAATAGAATACTTTCAAATGTCGCACAAATAGGTTCATCATGAAAGTGTGAAAAATCTTTTGCGAGTACTTCTGCTATTAAATTAAAAAATATTTCGATGCCAAGGTTTGAACATATTTTTTGGTCTCGAACAAAAACATTACAAAGAAATAAGAAGGGAATATAAGCGATGTGCGCGCTCAGCTCTCAGAGATTACAGAATAGAGATGGAGAAGCAGATAGATGATGATCCAAAAAAAATCTTTAAACACGTGAATTTCAAAAAAGGGCAAAGTGAAGATCTACCGCATGAAATGACTTATCGGGATGAAAAAACTAGCGACCAGAAAACAATTGCTAATTTTTTTGCAAAACACTTTGGCAGCGCTTACAGCTCTTTAGAAGGGGATCTGCGATATGACAGCACAGAAATAGAAAAGATACGTGAAATTTGTGCTGAAATGCATTTGTGCTGAAATATCAATGATTGAAATAACCGAGGAGCTTGTGGGTCATCATATAAGCATGCTGCCAGATGATTTGGTCTGTGGTCCTGATGAAATTCCAAACAAATTCATCAAGCATTGTTTGATATAATTGCAGGGGCCAATCTCAACGTTGTTAAAGCAATCACTTGGAACTGCCACAGTACCGCAGATATGGAAAACGTCCTTTTTCAGACCAGTTTACCAAAACGGAGATAGAAACAACGTTCTAAATTACCGCGGTGTTGCTTTACAGTGCATTACGTCAAAGATTCTAGATTCATCAAGAACATGTAAAAAATTGGTAGAATTTACTTCAAAAACAATTATTAACATGGGAAGAGGACTTCAAACAGACGCCATCTATTTGGACATAGCCAAGGTTTTTGACTCGGTTAAGTTAAAATTGCTTATTCAAAAGCTAGATTTCATGGGACTGAATGAGCAGCTGTCAAAATGGATCGAATCTTACTTGTCTGGTCGCAGACAAATTGTAAAGATAGCGGATATCACATCTGACCCAATCGAAGTTACCTCTGGGACGGGTCAAGGATATCCCATTGGTGCCACTTTGTTCATCATGTTTGTTATTGATCTACATTTCATCGTGAACAATTCATTCGCTGATGATACAAAAATTTCAAAATGTATCATCTCTGCAGATGACTGCAATAATCTTCAAAATGACTTGGATCGTGTAGCGGATTATTATAGACGCAATTTATTAAAATTAAATGTAAACAAAACAAAGATCATATAATATCATCGGGGATCACTGCAATATGAATACAAATACAACATAGGCGACGCTCAAATTGAAAGAGTCATTATAATAAGGGACTTGGGAGTGTTGCTTGATGTGCAAATGAATTTCAAATCACACATTGAGCATGTCACGGCTAAAGCCAAATCAAGACTGGCTTGGTTAAAGTTCTACAGCAAGGATTTCGTCAACACATGGACAATTAAACGCCTTTATTTTACATTTGTATTACCAATTATAGAATATGGATCACAAATATGGAATCCACACTACGACAATATGTGCAAAAAAATAGAGTCAGTACAAAAACAATTTTTACTATATGCCCTAAGGAGAATGAACTGGGACAGCTATAGACTTCCTAAATATGAGCATAGACTGCTGTTTCTACAAATGATTACGCTTGAGGAGAGACGCAAGTGTCTTTCATCTTCAA